ATTAGGTGTGTCCCGCGCGCTCATATGACCTTATGCAGTTGCGAGCGCCGTAAAAACACTTACCAAAACAAAACAAATGCCACAAAACCTACTAAAACTAAACCAAGTGATACAAATATTATTTATGGTTTGTAACCGAACTCACCACTACATAGCCAGCCCACAAACCATTACTCTGTGTCAAGAAAAGTTCTACGACATTTCAAAATACTCTCAGTGTGCATGGTATGTGTTGTGGTAGTCTAGTGGGGCGCTTCACAGTTGCACTAAAAAGACGTGAGTTTGGTACAGAATATCTAAGCAGCCCACCTCCTAAACAATCTAATTTGTGTGGATGAGGCGTTAAATATATGCCAATAAAATACATGTATTCAAAAATTTATTGATTTATTTTAGAAATGGGTTTAAATTCTAGGCCGACAAAGCAATTTGGAGGCTGTTTTTTTTTACTTCGAATATACACATGGCATAGTATTACCATTGCCTGTTGTTGCACCACTTGTCTCTTTTTCCATCTCTTTGACTATTGCGCATGCGTACGCCGCGTTAACACTCTGTTGGACACCCTCACTGTCTCTCTTTCCCTTATTTATGGGTTGTAAAAATATTCAGGAAACTCTTTCTTCAGTGGCAGTCCTCCGGATTCCTATTGGCAAATCCACGAAGTTCTAAATATGTAGCCTGGATTTTTCATGTGTAACGTGGAGGAGTTTTGTAATTTTTATTGGTACTTTCTTTACTTAGTTTTCAAAAGCTTTAACTTTCAGTGTTAAAAAGAGAATCGTCGATTGCTGGATAGCCGTGCTTCCTGTGTTGAGTGATATCTGGTAATATTGCCTTGGAGACGTTCATATTTCTTCAGTGCCATTCTGTGAGCATCAAAATATTGAAAGCTGAAATCTTTCTGTGAACATATCAAGATGTTTCTTCCTGTCCCATAGCCAGATTCGAAACAAATAGTACACGTCAAGTACGTGTATTGGTAATGACGACCCTCTACTTAGATGCCCAATCGGTAGGTCGAAGAATGGAAGCCACTGTTAATTCATCATGCTCAATAAACAACGCAGCTGACTGACAGTATTGATTATTCTTTTTCAGTTTAGAAGATCCTTTCAGAGTAACGCAGCTTTCGGCAAAAGCCAGGGTCACAACACGGACCCCTCCTTCTCATCAAACGCTCTTCGGTGGGCTGTTTTTTTACACTCTCATATCTCCAGTCAATGAAAAGTTTCTGAACTTACGTTGTTTGATAAATAATATTTTGTTTCCAAGATTTTACTGTATCAGAAGAGCACATGTGTTCGGAGGAAATACTTTAGAAAATCCTTATAATTTTTTTCGATGAAGACGTAAAACCCCCAACTGTAGCCGGCCATGATCTCCCTGCAGCTGAGCGAGGCAGAAGTCTTCCTGCTAGGAGTCCCCTTGGCTCTCCTAGCTGTGGCCGGTGTCGTCATCAACACATTGGCCTGCTCTTTCTACAGTAGGAAAGACTCAAACACCCTTCTGTGCTGCCCGTGTGACAACCCGTTCAAGCTATCATCCACGTTAGCCACGTCATCACATGC